TGGATTGTGACAAATTCTTCTCTATTTTCTGATATTTTATTAACCATCTAATCAGCTATTTGCAAAAAAAAAAGATTTCACATGACTTTAAAGTCCTCCACTGAGGATTTAACTGTAACTCCGGCTGTCAGTCAGTATTTACATGATCATTGTGTTTTAAGGTCAATAAGCTCATCCTCAGTTTCCATTTCTATAATTGATGTCTGTGCCGTGTGAGCGTTTTCCATGTGTCGTCCCCCAGAGATCAAAGCACAGTCCCCCTGCTGTCTTCGCATTCATCCCACATGTTTTGTCTGTGTTCATTATGTCTGCGTGTCTCTGATCATGCCTCCTGGGTAGATAATGCTGCCATGTGTGCTTTGGCAGTGTGCGCCAGAGATGCTTGGATGAGCAGAGGCGGAGGAGGCAGAGGGCCACCAAGAAGATCAGTACATTCATCGGCACGTTTGTGGTGTGCTTCACCCCTTACGTCATTACAAGGTGAGCGTGGATTTATGGGATTTCGTGTATATGAAAGGAAATGTTAAAATCAAGGTCAACTCGTAAACTGCAGTTGGATTTCGCTCGTCTATATTTAAAAAAAAAACAATCTCAGGGATTAATCTGTTTGACAGGGAGATTCACAGAGTTGTCACTTACCTTGTTATTGCTAGTGATGTGGTTACACTCGGCTTATTGTGTGAACAGGGATAAGAAAGAATCAATTTCAAAGCTGTCTTATTATCTGTTCCCCTATTTTCAACTGCCTCCTTTTCATAATGTCATAGCTTATTGGCTCTAATTTATTTCTAATCCTTTTCTCCGAGCCTTCACATCTCCAGAGATGAGAGAGACGGAGGAAGGGAAAAGGGAGCGAAATTGTGAGTGAGTCAGAAATCGTAGCACTGACCCTCATTAGTTTTAGACCCAGTACTGACGACGGTAACCTGTCAGAAGCTGTTAGGGGAACCGATAGAAAGCACATTAAGACACACGAGACAGACTTGAGAGGAGATCGCAGTAATTTAGAAGACAGAATGACAACAAAACCATACTCCACTTGGTTTTCAATCTATTCTGACTTTAACTTGATTTATTATGAAAAAAAATAATTGCCATGCACAGGATTCAGTGTTGAATGATTTTAATAAGCAAGAAGTCCAAGAGCGGCAGAGATGACTTGACACCCATTATTTCAAATTGCCCAACGCACTGATGACATTTCAGTGAAGTGCAATGGTGACATTTTCACAATATTACAGCACCGGGGGAGGTTCGTTTGCTGTGAATGTCTTCCACTCCAGTTACACAGATCTTGGATTTGGCTCAACATGCTGTAGTTTGATTGCTGATGCTATGTGACTGTTTTTTTTCCTTCCTTCCCTCTTTTTGCTTTATTTGAGGTAGAATTGTGGAGCTCTTCTGCCCAGGGCCCATCAGCCCCCACTGGGGTGTGCTGTCCAAATGTTTGGCCTACAGCAAGGCAGCAAGTGACCCGTTTGTCTACTCACTGCTGCGCCACCAGTACAGGAAGACCTGCAGCCTTCTGGCCAACAAGGTCCTCAAGAGGAGTCAGCTCAACTCCTCCTCCGTTGGGATGGAGAACAACATAGGGAGGAGCGACAATAATGTCAGCAAAAGCAACAACACCCAGCCACCTGCCAACAAGCCACAGTGAAGGTCATCACTTTCAGAGAGAATTAGGGTATGATGCTGAGCTAAAGGTTAACTAAGAGGTTTGGAGGGGAGTATGATGTGGATTGACCTCTCGGAGAGAGTCTGTGTATTGCATTCTTTTGAGAAAAAAAATCAGCTCTATTATTCTGAATCAACAAAACAGGCTGTCACTTCATGGAAGCAAACCCCACCTGTTTAGTTAATCTTTAAGTGTCTTCCCTCTGTTGACATCGTACTTGTGATCGTACAGCGCTGATAGAGGGTTGTGTATCACGGTGGGGCTGATATGCAGCAACAACCCTTTCATTCCGATGAGAGCTTTACGCAGGATTTTGAGGTATGATTTTATTTTTGTACCTCATTAATTCATTAACAAAATGATTAAGATGATAATTCAGAAAAAATAGAGCAGATTTTTATTCCTCGTGTGAATGCGATATGCTTCCATAGGACAAGGCTGAATATTCTGCATTTTTCTTCTTGTCAACAAATCCTGTGAAAAGTCCCGAACCAACAGTGTGTTAATCCGTCTTTTAATACTTTCCGAATTTTTCTCAGGCTGTCTGTGGCACTGTGCGTCTTACTTGCTCGGAGGACATAAGTCTTAAAAGTAGGCCACAAATAAATAGTTTCATTTTAAAGCAAAAATGATTTCCTGAAACAGCTGCGTTTTGCAGGTTTTTGCAATTGTTCCTCAAACGGGAGTAAAAAAAAGATTTGAGGCAGCAGGACTGTGAGCTGTGATTAATCAGAGACTGCATATAAAGATGGACATGGTGACTGCTTCCTAATAGTGAAGCCAAAGCATCTCAATTGCCACCTAATGGCTGGCTGCAGTATAGGTCATAAATCCTGCCTCCTCCATGTTAACAGAGGGGACATAGAGCAAACTAAAAAGTCAACATACACTTCAAATCCATTTTTCTTAAAGATGGTTTCTGTCATTCTAATGGTCAAGTGTTCATTCATCTGTTAAGTTTGGTTTTAATGCTTTGATTGACAGCCGAGACTCATGACTGGTCGAGCATGCATTGGTGGGACTTTTCACCACGGCTCCATCTACTGCACTGACTCTGGTACCAAATATGCAAGATGGTAGTGTACGTATCCTGAAGCTAAAGTGTCCACGCAACACCCAGTGAAATGATACAGCTCCTCTGTGTTTTTAAAGTGTTTGGATGACAGAAGAATTTTGGTTAGTTCTGGCGTAAAAGGAAATACGTTGGAGCAATATGATGAAAAATCCAGAATATTATTCTCCTTGTCCAATATGAAAGAATCAACTGTCGTCTTTTGTTGGTTGTGTGTGTAGGCTGTAATGGCATTAAGTATTTAAAGTATTGCACATCTTTTTCTGCAAAGACTGGTGATTTCTAATGAGATATAGTCGATTGTAGCACACTGTAGATTTGTGTCAACGAGTCTGTACAGCAAATTCAAATGTGAAGATGACACTAGATCCACCTCCAGAACTCAGACCATGTGAGTCTGCCATTGCTCCCAGATTGTTTAGCAGTTCTTATACACAAACTATAACGTATCTCTACAAACAGATTGTGCATTTTAATGAGATTTTGCAAGAGTTTGCGGTTGAAAGCCTTCTGGTTTCCGTTTCTAGTTTGACCAATCATGTTCCTGTGGTTGCCCATAGGTAAACAGTCCGTGTTGGCTTAATATCCGTTTACTACACTGGAAGGCCCAGAATATCCCTTTGCTGTTGAAGTTTTGATCAAATCAGTAACACATGAGTATTTTCTTCATTTAGGGTCAGCTCTATATAATCTTTAGGTCTCAAAACAATCACAGATACGGTGTTAGAACTTTTGAATCCCACTTGAACTGAATTTCATGAAATTCAAGCATAACCTCTAACCTCATTGCCGATTCTCTACCTGGATGAAGAGCTGAATGTTTTCAAGGAATGACTTAAAACGGATGATGACTTTAACAGTATGCTGTAGACAGGAGAGCGTTTCACCTCACTGGAGGTGTAATCAGACTTACTGTAAGTTGTAGCTGTGAGGCCTGACTCTAAAGTGCCTTTTAGACGATATGATCTCTCTCATCGAATCCAAACACAACATAGGAAACCTTCACAATCTATCCTTTATATTCTGTGGTGTTGTTAGGTGTGATGATAGAGCCTGTCATGCAGTTTGGTCACAATTTGTGGGAACATTTTAAATAATGTTTATGTTCTATTACCTCCACATTGTATTGCATCTAGCAAAACAGGGTGAAATATTATTTGAATGTCGTAGCCACTATTTAGTGATGTGTTAGTAACATTCCAGCTCATGATGTATGAGCGGCTGAAAATGATTTATCTTGACAACACTGGCAAATCAGGTGGTTGTATTTTACTTTACTGTGACAGTATTTGAGGCCTTTAAAAGGCAAAAAAATCTATTTATTTTTGTCAGAACTGTGTCAGATCTTTTGCTAATTATGTTTGTGATGATATTGAAATAAATGCTGTGCATTTTGACATTTTAAAACCTCAGCAGGATTTTTCTTAAAAATCTATTATAGTGTCTCTATTTAATGCCATATGAATGTTCAGCAATTTTTTTTTACAATGCCTCACAGAAAGACTGTCTTTCCAATCCTAACACCTATATTCACACACACTGATTAAGACAAGGAGAAGGAATAATTAATTTGAAAAATCATTTAAGATATGTTCCACCCACAGAGTTTGCTGGTGATGTGGCAGCAGAACAAAGACTTTGTACAAAAGCACCGGGGCTGATCGTTTAAGGCTTTCTTAATTGCAGAGCTGTTGGAAAGAGTGGAAAAGAAGAAAAGGAGCCAAGAAGAGGAGAAGAAAGTAGGAACTGTACCTCAACAGGTTCAAGCAGCTGTGGCTAAAAGATTCAGAGTATCTGCATCCTCCGTCCTCCTCATCTTCATCCTGAACCACGTTTTTACCATTTATCCTTTACAAATTCTCCATCTTTCCCTTCCTCTCTTTGATAACAAGTGCCTACAAAATATCTTTTCCATCTATGTCAAAAAACATGAAACAATCATGACTCATCAACCATCAAAGCTGCCTCCAATGTTTTATGATTCACCAAGGGGCGCAAAAATCTTCCGTTTACCACAAAACATGTATTCACCAAGTACACGCCAACCAAGGGCAATTAGTGGAAAGTATATTCTGAAAGTTTTGGAAGGCTCCCTGGTCTGGAGGTGTGTGTATCCTCGTCTCCCAGGGAGAATCAGTGAGTGGGTGAGAGGCAGACACAGACCTGCCATATACTGGAAACACTGTGCACAGACCTTGTGATTAAGCCACGGAGCGTAGGAAGTACAAGAAAGCAGAGGAAGAAGGCAGGGAAGACAAACGCACTGGCTGACTTCACACAACCCTGATGTCAGGGCACAAGTGGTTCTTGTTTCAATCTTACAAAATATGAGTGAAGCATGAATTTTTTTACTCACTGTCCTATCAAAGTGTCTGAAAATCAGTCACCCATTCACAGATAGTGACCCTCCTTTTAATCATCGACAGCAGAAACCAAAATCTATAAGTGAGGAATCCTCCGCCTCAAAGAAAAATTGATCCTTTTCATTTTCTTTATACCGACAAAACTCTTTTTACTGTACGCTCCCTCAGGTTTGTTCAAACATCACAAATCACGTGGAAACAGCGCAGAATGCCCAAAGTGATAATGAAGACTTAAGAAATGTCTTTCCATCACGTCTTATTATCTCACTTATGCTTGAATTCACCCTCACAGGCCTGTCCACAATTCTGCTGGCGGAGCTGCTGGACGGATCGACTGCTGGTGTATATATCGCATATAACATGAATCATGGGAATGTTAGACTCAAATGTCATGGTATTCCCCATGCCCTTAATCAAACAGCAGGCTCAGCTCACAGAAGTAATAAAAATACCATCTATTTTTGTCCTGGAATGCTCTATTTGTTTTTGCTGTGGGCCACGGAATCCAGTTTTTTGTCTCTGAAGGCCTTCGCTGCAGTGTTTAAAGAGTATTATTGCCTTCAAGAGAAAACCTTATATCTCTCACAGTTTTCAAGACGTTCAAGGGTCTCAGACAAACAGCTTTGATTTCAGGCTTTTTGATTTTATCCCACACATTTGTAAAATGTTTTATCGCAGAAATATGTTAATTCTAATGCAAGATAATGTGATCCCACTGGGATTTACCAGAAGCTACAAAAGAGCAATGCGCCATTAGCGCAGGGTTAACTCCACATTCCCATGTAGCTAGAGCAAAAAAGTGTAAAATGTTGCAGCCATCTGGTAGAATTTAACTCCTGTAAGTGTGTGTATGCATGTTTGGATTTATAAATATCTGAGCAACTACTGTGCATTGATGTCTGGCTGTTTGGTCCGAATGGCTCTGGAGATTTTTAAGTCTGAGTGGCAGTGTTTACAGCAAAATGTGTCCTGGTTAGAATCCCAGTTCAGCCTGTCTGTGTGGAGTTTGTATGTTCTCCCTGTTCAAAGTATCTTTATTGTCCCTCTTCATGTGTTTTCTATGGTTTCCTCCCACAGTCCGAAGGCAGACAGATTGGGGTTAGGATTAACTGGAGTCTCTAACTTGACCGTGTTTGTGAATGAATGTACGGATGTTTGTTTCGTACGTTGGTCTTGTGACGGGCCGGCACTTTGTCCAGGATGTACACCACCTCTGTCAGCTGGTATTGGTTCCACCCCTGACCCTATAAATAACGAATGGATGGATGGATCAACATGTGTCTTCACCAACAAACCAAGTCATTAACAGAGATTTTGATTATGAACATAAACACAGCAGACATTATGTTTTGCTGCTAAAGAACTTTAATAGTGTGTATTTTCTGACTTAACAAGATTATTACCTTAGAATCCTGGCAGAAGTTTTCATGGGAGAAAGAGAGGCTGTCATTTACTCTGGAGGCGCTGAAACATGTCAACAAAACGTCACGCCTACGTAGTTTAATCCAGTTTTATTTTGGTTTGGGTTCTAGGCATTGAAATTAGTT